ATCAAGTATACCTCCTACTCCCTGCAAACCATTCAAAACCATATCCATCGTTCTTTGAAAAATAGCTGGGCTAGCTGCAACTCCAAATGGCAGTCTTGTATACCTATACAAACCCAAATGTGTGTTAATTGTAACATAACGTTGTGATTCTTCGTCCAAAACAACTTCCTGATATGCTGCCGACAGATCTATTTTGAAAATTTCTCGCCTCCTCGTAGCTTTGTAAATAGTTCTTCAGCTGTCGGCATTGGATATTCTTGAACGTCTAGACTTTGGTTAATGGTCACTTTATAATCGCCACAAATCCGTACACTACCATCAGGTTTCAACACTGGCACGATTGGCGTCGCCCAATCTGAAAACTCTACCTTTTCCAGGACCCCAAGTTTCTCTAAACGGTAGATTTCTTCCTTTACCTTGTCTTTCAGCGCAAACGGGACTGATCTAGGTTTAAAAAACTTTGGATTTGAGTTTGGTTTCATGTATAAATGTGCCTTAACTCCTTTTACTGTCCCCAACGAATTGTCAAATAAGGACGCATATTGAATTATTAATTGCTCCACATTTTTAACAGGTTTTGCCACTACTTGTTTTATTTGACTCCAGTTAAGCTTTAAAACTGCCAGCCAATTTCGTCCCAACAACACAGGACCTTTATTTTGAGTTATTACAATTGGTAACTTAGCTTTTTGTTTTCCATGTTCCACGCAAACGTCTACTTCTCCCCTCACTGGAACTTCATGCCCAGAATAACTTTGCAGTCTAACGTTGGACTTGCGTATGCATTTTGCCGACAACACCTTTCTCCACACATTTTCTGGCATAATTGATACCGCAGCTCCCGTGTCCACTTCCATCTTTACTGACTTTCCATCCATTAGGACTAATACTTCCATCTCTTTACATTGCTTTCTCGAATCAGTTAATGTGAACAGCGGCCATGTTTTCATATCTTCTTCTTGGCTTTCGCTGTCACTGTCAACGTTGCTATGTGTTTTAACGTTGTGAATTTCGATGGATTTTTTTTTCTTTTCTTAGCATCTTCCCTTCTCGACTTTTCACTTTTTGTATTCTTCCTGTTGTTGCCATCTCTCCTGGGACACTTCTTTAATATATGTCCATAATTTTGACAACCGTGACATTTGGACTTCCGAAAATAACACTTATCGGGAGAATGATTTTTCTTACCACAGCGAAAACACTCGAGGGCTGCTGTTTGCACTCGGTTCAGTAATTCTCCGTGTAACGCTGATGTTTCTCTCTCCGTTAATTCAGCCGCACAAGCTTTTTCTACCGCAGACTTTAAAGTCAAATCAACTTCGCCTAGTAGCTTACGTTGAATCGATCGATCTCGCAATCCACAAACAAATCGATCTCGAATTGCTTCGTCTCGATAACTCCCAAATTCACATGTTTCTGCTAATCTCTGCAATTTGGCAAGATATTCCCTAATCGATTCTGCTTGTCCTTGCTCAGCCTTGTGGAACTTATATCGTTCAGCAATAACTATTGGTTTTGGCTCCAGATGTTGTGTTAAAGTTTCTACAATTTGGTTATATGTAAGTTCTTTTGGTCTTCTGGGTGCTGTAATTGATCTTAACAACGCATACATCTTACTACCCATCAAGGTAAGTATGCTCGAGGCTTGCTTTTCTCTTGGTACATTATTTACTTCGAAGAATATTTCAAGCCGCTCAACGTACTGCTTCCAATCTGTACTCGTTGAATATTCTTCCATATGTCCCATAAAGGGCACATTAAAACCAACAGTTGTCTGCGTACTTTGGGCTTCTTCGTCCATCAGAATCGAATCTTTGTCGCCAACTGTAGTGTTTTATATTTCATTTATGTGTATTTTACCACTGCCTAGATAGTACCAATTAACTCCTTTTTATATATTTAAGCTTTATAACAATTAACATAACTAATAACGTAAATCCTATTAAATTAACATAAATTAATAAAAATAACAGTTTGAACCCGGGAGTATCGTTATATGTTTGTAAATGATGATCGTCCAGGTTAATAAAGTCCTGAGAAGGACTGTTTTTGTTGTTGTTGACTGACGTTTCGACAACCTTAGCGGTAGTCATCTTCAGAGTCAAATGAGGAGTAAACGTCAGGTTAGCCGTATTTGTTATCTGGTCGATCAACCAATGACAATACACAATTGACACCCACACATTACAACTAAAAACGTCACACCTAAATCACACATCACAACTAAAAATAAAATATTTCACTTCACACTAATCCACAATGACAATACACATTTCCTGTACACACAATACGATGACGTAAGAAGCAGATAACAAATACGGCTAACCTGACGTTTACTCCTCATTTGACTCTGAAGATGACTACCGCTAAGGTTGTCGAAACGTCAGTCAACAACAACAAAAACAGTCCTTCTCAGGACTTTATTACCATGGACGATCATCATTTACAAACATATAACTTAATAATATGCATTAGCCATGCAATTTAGGTTTATAGTCTTTTTTATATCAATGCATTAAATGAAGGGCAGTTTTCGTTTTCGTCTGGCAAGAATGTGTAAGCACTCCCAACTTTTTTGGTCCCGTACGCCCGTGCTTAAATATTCATTTCTATATTTTTAAATGTGCATTCCGTTATGCCTGAACAAAAAAAGTTGTAGTAATATCACTGTCTGAAGACGCAGGCAGTTTATGTATAAATTGGTGTGGGATTAGAACAGTGGACTCTATCAAAAGCCTCATTTTGAAAAAATACCCTAGCACTTCTAAGAAAAAACTTTCACTATTTGGTAGAACATAGTATACAATAAAAGAGAAACGAACTACTGCATTGTTTTCTAAGACTGGAAAAGTTTATAGGAAAAATAATGTTTACTTGCCACAAATAAATCAACGACCATTTCTCCCAATACCGAGGAAATGCGATTAGAATTACTACACTTGGCTTTAATAGGAAAGTTTAATTCCATAAACAATGCTTGGGGAGCTGAAGAGATGCCTTAAAAGGTTTCGTACAGAAATATGGCCTTGGAAAATACTATGCCAGTTCACTCTCTTTGTAAACAAAATTTCTCCTGTAATCCTTTGGAACAACTATTTCGAATCAAAATCATCTGGACATTTTGATGAGTCCATTTTCATGCCCGAACGTATCAAATTTCTTGTGTTACTTTTGATAATTCTTAAGATCATTGATATAGGTATTTTACACGCAGTTATTTCAGTATTGTTAGTTTAGTTCCATAAACAATTAATATCGTTTTGTCATAAATCAACTTACATTTGAAAATACGAAAGTATGAACAGAGGCTCGGAAAGCCGTGGGTGTCCGAGTGTCTGGACAAACACAAAATTCTTGGAGTAGAATCCAAAGATTGCTAAGTTTGCTCTAATTAAAAGGCCATAGGTGAAAAATCTGCTTTCGGGAAAGTGAAAAATCTGTCATTTTATTTGTATTAAAAGGGTAAAAATGACATAACTTGACTTAGTGAAAAAAGGACATTTATCACAAGGGAGATTAAGTATACTTTGGTTGACATGGCAACGTAATGGATTGATTGAAACAAGACCATTTGAGACAATGAGCAGACTACACATTTGAAAAACACCATTGACCACTGCCAGTTGAATGCATCTTCTATACTGTTGGCACATCTTTTTCGTGCTGTGAATCATTATCTTCTGTGTGCAAAGTCTCGATCGTGGTGGTGTCTTGTAATATAGCGTGTGACTTTGTCAAGCATAATTCGAAGGTAGCTCCAAAATTACTATTGTTTAATGCTTGGATTCTTGTCAATGGTTGTTACATTTTGTTATCCTCTTGTTCTTTTTGTTGTAATGTTTTTTGAAATTTGAACAGCAATTAGTAGGTGCAGAATAGTCAAAATAAAAAATGCATTGTCGCTACTATTATTCACTGACAGTGAAAACGATTGATTAGCCTGTAAATCAGTCAAAGTTGAAGACAATTTCATTACCAAATCGTCTGCACAAGCCACAAGGGACTGTACTTTCTAAGTTCTAATGATTTTCTTTGCATAGTATAGAAATTCATCTTTGTCTCGAAAATTTTATACAAAGTAGCAACATACTTTTTTACTTAGCCAACGCCGGAATTTATTATTCTATAAGAATATCTAGCAATACATACTGCTCTCTCGCTCTGGCTTACGTTTCACAGTTTTAGATGCAAGTTATCAGTGCCCAAACCAAATCGTACAAACTCGCCAAATTTTTGCCATACAACTATAGGTTTTTTCATTCTCTTTATTCAGTTCACTATCATGAAGAGATTGGTAGAGGCATATTTATTTATATAGAAAAATTTTACAATTTTGTTGCCTCAAAATCCTGTTGAATTTCGATATTACGGGAAATGGTTAGTTTTTGTGTTATGTTTATCGTCTAAAAAGTGAAAGACATACAACTGACATATTTTTATATTGTCTGTTTTCAAGAAACTATTAAAGAATGAATACAAGCTTAAGTGTTTGTATTTTGTTGATGTGTATGAGCACGACTGAAATCAATAGAAGATAGAAACAGAAATGAAACGAAATTAATAAAGATTTGCATCATAATCATTTTATAATTTTTCGTTATCATTATCATTTCGTCATTATCATTTGCTTCATTCTCCTTCAGTTCATGTCGTTAGCGTTGTCAGGGTAAAAGTCAACACGGCTTGATAATGAACCTGCCTCTCGAGTTTCAAAATGAATAGATTCAAATATTCAAAAAATTATATATATATATATTCATAATCTATTCATTTATTCACAAAGAATGTAACAAAGTGTACTAAAAAGTTTGAAAGTTACTTAATTTTAATTGTAATATCCTACCTATAGAACATTAAGGTTATTTGATTGCTTGGTTTTGGTCAATGTAATAATAATACACTTTGAAATATTTCTCAGCTGCTTCTGATTAATCTCAGGACATTTTATCTATAATTTCAGTGTAAATTATGTAATTGCACAATAAAGATGTGTAATTTCACTTTAAATACTATGATTTTATTGGCTAAAAAGCAATGAACTTAAGTCAGTTTCTTTTCAATTAAAGAACATGAAGGCAGTTCAACAGTGAAAATGAAAACAGAGCAGCAAGTACTGCTTCTTGGGTAAATCAGTGTTTATAAAAGTTGGGTAGTGCAACAAGCTTTTCTGAAACGATAAATAGTTGCAAAACAAAAATCGCTAGACGGCGCTTGGCAAAATATTTCAAAGTAAATAAGGTGTTTTCATCGGTGGCCGTGTTGGAGGAAAATTCCATATATATTGTATAGTAAAAAGAAACAAAAGTATTTTCAATTAACTTTCAGAAAAAAATAAGCAGGACATAACTGAATATATGAAGACCCCTCCCCCCCTCTCTAAATAGCGTTCTAGCCTTGCCTCTGCTCACATGACGATTTTTTAAAAGTCATCAAGCAGATGAAAGTAAATTGTCAAATTCTCAAGCTGTTGTTCACCGAAAGATAAAAAAATAGTCAACTGTCCTCTAACCTCTACATATTACGTTTATGTCCTGTTGCTGCATTGCATGTGTATATTTTCTGAATTCAATTATATTTTTTAAATGGTAGGTGTGTTAGAATGTAACTATATCTTCTACATGGTAGGTGTGCTAATGGAGACTAAGGATTCCGTTGTCGAAATGGAAGATACAAATGAAGCTACAGTAGTCGCTGCTTCTCGTTGGAAGTTGCAAAATTCCGTGGTTTTGAATCCATTGATTCGGTAGGTTTCTTTATTCTTTTTTTATCGACTGAATCATCGATAATTCAGTAAGAAGCAAAATATCCAATGACATGAGCTGAACTATCTTTAGCTGATTCGATTTAGTCACAATGTCACACAAATACAATCCTCCAAAAAAGATCCATGGTAAAACACCTCATAATTCTTTAATTTGGAAGCTAAAACGCCATCTCCTTCAATTCTATGGTGAATTTACAAGGTCGATGGCATTAACTGGACAATGCTAGTATTTTTCGCCTTTAGAATGTAGGTTTTCCGTCACAATAGAACACAAAGAGATCCATATGGATTCCCATGTTTCATCGATTTGATTTTCCAACTTTGTCTTCTGTCATTTCTCTGCTTTCGAGCCCCGCCAAAAATGCATCTTTTCTAATTACTTAACTTTATTCCTCGATATGAAGAGCAGCCAAATGAAACGTAAGCCCTGTGCTAAATCTATTGTCAGGGCACTGTGACTGCATTGTTTTTAACATTTAACTAAATGGGATGAAGCACTTCAAGGGGATGTAAAATATGATTAACAAACTTGAAAAACAAGCAATATCATAATGTCTTGAAAGTCAATACGACAATGATTGCCTTAATTTCTCTCAAATTGGTCATCCCTGTTAGGTTAAGGGCCCGGTAAAAATGCCCCTCTTGACGTATACCATATTTTGTTTTTAAATGAACTATAAATTTTTGATCTTTGTTCTATAATGCATAGAGCTGTCCGACGGGGAATGTTCATGACAGAGCAATACCTTGCTGAAATAAAGGACATTGAAAACCTCAAAATAAAAGACAGTGATGACTTCGGAAGAAATATATTCCATCTCAGTGTTCAAAGAGAAAAGCTGCTAGAATTTCTGTTAGAAAAGTTCAAGAAGGTAAAGTCTTTAATATAGCACATATGATATTCCATCTCCTAGGTGTAAGATAACAATTTAAAATTCAGAGCATGCTGTAAGAGCAAATGCTGCAGCAAACTTTGTGGAGCAAAAGAATTTTACATGATGAAATTATAGATTACTTTATTAGATCATGATATAATTCAAGCAAAACAGGTGATGCTTTTTTTCGCTCAAACATATATGAACGACTATAGAACAATTTTACTCATCCTCTAGAATTGACATATCAATTTAGAAAGCGGCCATATTTGTGAACAAAATGGATACCAACATGGCGGCTATTTGTCAGGTGGTGAAAAAGGTCTAGTGTTTTGATGAAATTGTCACATCATCATGATGCTGTTAACTAGGTTTTGAACTTTTACTTAAATCTGCATTTCTTGTTGAGCAAATTTATTTTAAACGCCTAATTATTGACACGGAATTGCAAGTTCTTGTTAATTGATCAAAACTTATGATATACAGTTGACTGATTTAAGCCTGGTACACACGAGTGAAATAAGACAAAAGACTGAGCAAAGACAATCAAAGAATATGTTGCGACATATGTAATGACACAAGGGCAAGCATAAGATAAAAAGCTATGCATAAATTGAAAGAAGAACAAAATGAGAACACAAGAAGATTTGAACAAAAATCCCGACGTTGTTGTTTTTGTAAACCTTTATAGAGCAAAAGAAACAGTTGTCCGAAAAGAAAATCTTTCAGTTGCTGCTTGTTAGACTCGTGTAAGCCAGGCATTAAATTGTACAAGCTAGCATGTTTCAAATTGCAGTTAATGCTCAACCCAAATACCTAGCAACTTTTTCAATGGCGTCCACGCTTTCTCGGGGGTCGATTACTGCTGAATAATATCGCGCAAATTTTAAACACAAGTTTTATGAACTCTTGTATGATTACATTATGTCTGTGCAACAAAACGTTGTCGCTCAAGTGTTGACAACTTTTAACAATAAGAGTGTGACATCATGAATCATTTATGCATTTACAATTTGAATTTTCAACAGCATGAGCAACTCATGGAAGCTCTCCACAGTGAAAATTTGAATGGTCACACTCCAGCTCATGTTGCTGTGTTGCACAATCAAAGAAAGGTAGATGTGCATTTTATCACCGACGTCATTCTTATTAAACTTTACGCGTTTCCAGTCCCAAGGACCAAATGGAATTTCGATTTTCTGTTTTTTTTTTCATTTTAAAATGCATAAACATCGTAACGATTCTGACTTACCCCGATCTCTTTCTACTTGAAATTTACTACTCTTTGAAATTTATGTGAATGTAATTTGTAACTTTTAGACGATGATTGTAAATGAACGGTATTAATTGGTTAAAATTACTTTTGGTTGTAGTAAACATAACTTGAACTTCATCAGAAAAATAATCAAAGATTGTGATATCAATGGATTAACCGCTAACACTCACACTAACAAATGTACAAACAGTATAGTGAGCAAATAGTCAATCTTTATTTCTAAGCAATAACCAAGCAAACATTTTCCCGCTTACAGAAAAAGTATCTAATGCAGATATGTGCACACTTTAACTGCTTTATGAAAGGAAAATTTCATGTAAGTTACTAATGAAGCAATGAGCTATTTATTGAATTTCACCTGATACATGTAAACATCAATAATATAGATAAAAAAACAACAAAAAACGTCCACACTATTATGCCCAGACCTGCTTATAATTCATCAAGATTTTTAACTTTTGTCAACTATGTTGTTTGTTCTAAAGAGAAGTGGGAGTGTTGTGATGCTCTGGAGAAATAATTTGTTCAAAATCGCTAACTTATACAGTGCTTGCATACAATGCCGTAGCTAGAACATTAATTGTGCGTATTCATATATTCAGTTGCGTCCAACTGACTTCTTTAGAAAGTCTGATCACTTCCAAAAGAAGTCAGTCGAGCACAGCTGAATATATAAATATACAACCACTCACCCCCAATTAGCGTCCTAGCTACGGCCCCGTTTGCATGTGACGTCATAGCCGTGATGTTGGAGAACTACATCAAAGTAACGATATCATTTTTGTAGAGCTTACAAATTCTGGCTTGTGCCGACGAAAATGTTTACATGCTTCGAAGCTCAAAGACTGGACAGACACTTATCCATTGCGCGGTTTATCAGACATTGATACACTGCGCGGGGGATGTTTGGAATCCTTGTATAGTGCAGGACATCATTTCTACTCGACCACAGTCCCTCATCGATAAAGACAACAAAGGAAAATCACCACAACATTATGCTGCAGCTCTTCAGGAGTGTTTTGTCTTAAATTTTCTACTCTCCATGGGTGCAAATATTTTGGAGATGTGAGTCCCGTGTTTCCATATTTAGATGCGTTATCAATGACTGTGGTGTGTTTTAATCGCAAGTAAATTTGAATATTGGCCCCTTTAATTGTACAGCTAACTACGCCACTGCAAAAAAGCGTTCCAATAGTTTTATATAGCAGCAAAAAATGACGTCGAACTTTGCGCTTTTTACAGATATCTCTTTCGTTTAATTATTAAGAATGCCACTGGGAAATTGAAAACATGTTTCAAAAGAATAGCTTAATGCTGTATACATACGATATTATTTGCTTTGAGTATACAGAACATAAAACTTTTGCAAAATCGGTAAGTAGTTTTAGAGGGACTTTAGAAGCTTTTAAAATTTGTGGGTGACTGAGGATTTTTTACACATGCTAATTATCTGATTACGCAATACATTTAATGTAGTCATAAAATTACAGTTTGTTATTTTTGTTGTGTTTTCCTCTTTTAACTTCATCTTGTTTGAGTGAATGGTCTGTTTAATGATATGACGATTGGGCACACCTTTAAATAAATGGCATGCCATATGTTAACATTTAACCAAGACGTCAAGGTCGTGTATCCTTCCTGTAAGAGACCCAAAATCAAATAATTTTGGGTGTACAAATGGCCAGACACCCACGCCTTCTCAAGTCGTCTGCAATTTTACCAAATTGCTGATGTTTGTTTGGTTTTCAATAACCTAAAATCGAGGTATTTGATATCAAGAAAGAGAAAATTTTATTTTATTGCAGGGACAACAGAGAGTCAACTCTTCTTCATGAAGCAGCTGAGGCCGGGTCATTATCCAATGTTATGCTCCTATCCCGCGATGAGCAAACAATGTTGAGAGCAAGAGACGTTGAAGGAAGAACACCCCTACATATTGCCTGTGCCAAAGGTTTTCGAAATATAGTGTCGTTTCTATTAGAGAATGGGGCTGATCCACTGGTGAAAACAAACGACCATGAGAACTGCCTGGAAGTTGCGGTTAATGAGAATAAAAAGAACATTGTTAAAGAGTTATTGCTTAGCTCTTACTGGAAGTTAGTAAGTAGTATATTTATTATTAGAGTTTTTCTAAATAGCTGATGAAAGCTGTGAGTTCTGCTTGCTTCAGTTTCAATGAAGTTACAGGAAATTTGACCTATATGGAGAACAAAAATTTCAATTATATAGCTAGGAATTTCTATTATGTCCAACAGTGTTTTTAAATATTATGTCGACAATATTACATCTGACCATTTGTAAATAAGCCTGCACCCCATATTGCGTTCTTGGAGACTAAGAACTAGTAAATGTTTCGTTTTCAATGCATTACCTAAATTGCAGTAAAGTAAATGGTTTGAACCCGGGAGTATCGTTACATGTTTGTATATGTAGATCGTCCAGGTTGGCATAGTCTTGAGAAGGACTGTTTTTGTTGTTGTTGACTGACGTTTCGACAACCTTAGCGGTAGTCATCTTCAGAGTCAAATGAGGAGTAAACGTCAGGTTAGCCGTATTTGTTATCTGCTTCTTACGTCATTGTATTGTGTGTACAGGAAATGTGTATTGCATTGTGAATTAGTGTGAAGTGAAATATTTTTATTTTTAGTTGTGATGTGTGATTTAGAGGTGATGTTTCCAGTTGTAATGTGTGGGTGTCAATTGTGTATTGTGATTGTGAATTAGTGTGAAGTGTAATGTTTTTAGTTGATCGTTTGTTTGTATTGTGAATAAGTCGTTTGTAAGGTGCCGGTAACTGCTGTGATCTGTTCAGGGGGGTTTATTCCAAGTTGGTATACCAACGACTTATTTACAATACAAACAAACGATCAACTAAAAACATTAATATATTTCATCACACCTAAATCACACATCACAACTAAAAATAAAAATATTTCACTTCACACTAATTCACAATGACAATACACATTTCCTGTACACACAATACAATGACGTAAGAACCAGATCACAAATACGGCTAACCTGACGTTAACTCCTCATTTGACTTTGAAGATGACTACCGCTAAGTTTGTCGAAACGTCAGTCAACAACAAAAACAGTCCTTCTCAGGACTATACCAACCTGGACGATCTACATTTACAAACATGTTACCTAAATTGCATTACCTAAATACAATAAATACATCAAGTAGAAGACACAAAATTGCTGAAATTGCAAAATTTTGAAATTGGGTAAATGAATATATTTTAAGCTGATTTGTGATTGGAAGAATGGGCCAAAAAAATGTTTCGTGCACCTTATTGAGAAGATGCCTGATCAAGCCAAGTTACTGCTGGATCGTTGTGTTGTGACCAGTAATCACAAACCAAACTCACCTGACTACAATATTACTTATGACTTCTTTCTTCTTGGTGCTGTTGATGGTAAGCTTTTACGTTTATTATCGTATGATAAAACTCTTCTCAACTGATCTTCTCTTCTCGCAAAAACTGCCTACAAACGTATAAGCAATTTCCATGTTTGCTGTATCTATATAAAATATATATGTGTAGTGGTGTTGAGAAAAATCACAAAACTACAGATTCATCCCGACAAGCCTGTTTCGTGATTGCTCACTCTTCAGGGGATTTAATTCATGAAACAGGCTTGTCGGGATGAATCTGTAGTTTTGTGATTTTTCTCAACACCACTACACATATTTACGCTCTGCTCTTGGGCATCGAGCACTGTTTTATACGGAAAATCATCAAATAGAAACTTCCTATATAAAATATATATATATATAAAACAAAAACAGTTATCATAGACAAATCAGATTACATTGACAAAGCCAAGACCCTTCTACAAGACGATTTTTACTGTTTCGTCCAGTTTCTTGTTGCTTTTGTCGGTTTGTGTTTTGTTTTCTATTTTGTTTATAGTTTTGTTTATGAAACGGCCGCCGTTTTGTTTCAATCAAACGGCTGCCGTATGTTAGATGTCCTCATATGAGATGCCAACAACCGCTTACGATTCTACCTAAATAAACTACAAGAACATCAAGAAACCGTAACAAGTTACACTATACAACCAGACGCCAAATCCATTAATCGTGGACATTACTATACCAACCTGGACATTAAATCTAAAATTACAAGAATCAAGATCATACAAACAACTCCATCCCAACACAAACGAATTTGTCACAAACATCTCGAGCAAGCCACTAACTGAACAGCAAACTAAAATTCTAAACAAACATTAAATTGCAACATTAAAGACGCGAACAAACTTGACTACGTTGCCGACCTGGGATCAGCTTTTAAGTACATCAACTTAACAGACCAAACGAAAGAAGACATTCGTCATAAAATCACCAATAAACTCTGCTACAAACCACCAGTCACCTTAAATAACGAAAAACTACGAGCAATTAAAAACTTACAAAACGACGACCAAATAATCATATTACAAGCTGACAAAAGACGCAAAACAGTTATCATGGACAGATCAGAATACATCGACATAGCCAAAACCCTCCTAAAATACAACACCACCTACGAGCCTCTCCACGCAGACCCAAGCAAAACGACCACCAACCGCATCAACCAGAAACTGAAACAACTCAAAGACAAAAAGAAACTAACCGAAAAAGACTACAGAAGAATCTGACCAAATGACGCATCAAGCGCTAAACTCTACGGACTACCAAAAATTCACAAAGAAAACATTCCACTTCGACCTATTGTATCTTATCCAGGATCACCTACGTATGAACTATCAAAATATCTTTCTAACATTCTCTATCCATTAGTCGAAAAGTCACCTCACAACCATCAAAAACGCCACCACCTTCCTCGCCATCATTGACAACATTAAACTACGTCCAGACAAAACCATGATATCCTACGACGTTACATCGCTCTTCACATCCATACCACTAGACATAGCCAAACAAATTACAAACGAATTACTCAAAAACGACAAAACGTGGCCAGCTACAACACAACTAGACAAAAATGACATCCTGTACTTACTCAGCCTTTGCCTCTCTGCTGAATTCTCCTTCCTAAACTCATACTATAGACAAATTTCAGGCACATCAATGGGGTCACCACTATCCACCTTTCTGTTGCCGTTATGCAACACCCGGAAACACAATCAGTCACAAGCAACACAAACATCAGACTATGGAAAAGATATGTCGACGACATGATACCATGTAAAGACTGCTCAAAACAATATATAGGGCAAACATCAAAGAAAATCGAAACAAGACTCACAGAACACAAAAAACGCCATAAAGCGACGAGACCCAAACTCACTACCGGCAGAACATACCCACGCAAATAATCACACATTCGACTGGACAGAAACTAAAGTACTCGAACGTGCACAAACAAAACACGCAAGCGAATTCCAAGAGGCTTGGTACAGTAAAGACAACGACACAATAAAGAGACATATCAATTAACCCACCACATATATATTCACAACTAAAGAAAAACGACAAAAGAACTACAAACAGCACTAAGACTACAACAATACACTCTAATAATATTAACACCAATCATCCACATTACACCAAAACCCATGGCAACGCATTTCACCCCATCCAATCACATTAATCCACCCGCTAATCCAATTAGACGCTCTAAACGTCTACAAGCTAAAAACATATATATATACCATCACTGGGTAAAATTTTGCTTTTAAAGTTCCTGCTCATGAAGTACTTATGGGAAAATGACTTTTGCGATACTTTTACAGGTTCCAATCCTCCAGTTTTTGATGCACTTACAGCAATCATCAAGAATAACGAAGAACAGTGTTTGACTCACAAGCTTTGCAAGAAATATTTCAGTGTTAAATGGCGTGAGAAAGGATGTCACCTCTACTTGATCAATCTGACAATTTTTTTGTCCTTTCACATATTGTTCAGCGTATACGTCTGCTTGGTCCGCGGTGAATTCAAAGGAAAAGGAATGCATGATATCAGTAAGTCTTAGAAATGTTTTAGCTAACTAAAAAAACGCATTTGTGTGACCGAAACGTTGTCGAGAACTTTATGTGTTGATTTATATTGCTTTAACGAAAGAAACGCACTATCTCTTTACGTATTTTTACATTAAGAAAGTTCGTATATTTTTTTATGGTTATCAATCGTTGAATGCTTTAATGTCGAATAACTTATGTATTAAAATGCCTTTACTTGCAAAATTTATGAAATGTTATCAAAACCAGGTGTCTATCGTTCCCGTAAAAAAATTTAATTGGGTGAAATTACAGATGCGAAAATGCCTTTCTTGATTGACCTTTTCTTTCTTCACGGAACGACTTATTCTTGTGACGTCATGCAAGGAACTCATAAATACACATGCTCTCTAATGCATTTGCATTCAAATAACCAGTATAAAATTTTCTCAATACCTGGAAAGACTTCACCCAAATCTACACAAACCAACGAATAAATTCAGGAACCAGTGGGGTAGCCAATGGAGAAGGATTTCTTCTGTATATTTTTTCTGGGTGTACTCACTGTAAAAACAATAGATTTCTAAATGAATGAATGATGATAATGATTTGAATGTCACACAGAAGCACCAAAACTTGCGGTCTGGTAACACCTCTGTTAGAGTCTTACCTTTAAATAAATCTATACGACTTGTGCTCAAAGTACGAAAAATGGAGCGAGGGTAACGATAATAAGATATGAGATAGATATAAAGGCAATAGATAATTTAGATATGGCTATTACATGCAAAGTAAATCTGTCTGCGAGCTCTCTATAGTATTTTATAAACCAGTAAACTAGTGAAAACAAATTTCTAGCTCTCTTAGAAGTTCTGTCATTTTCTTTTTAAATCACGTCCTTTAAATCGTAATGGAATATAAAGCAATAGCTATGTGTCCCTTGTGCACATTTAACTTTTATTGAAATCGAAAAGTTGTGCACAACATCTGATATATTGTATACCTATAGTTGTAAAAAAGGAAGAAAAAAACGGTGGAAGACCGTCATCGACTAAGGAGTGCTTCCACTCACATACTCCTATTTTAGCAATTTTGCTGTAACTGTAACACCCGTGTTAGGATGTTTTTCGCTGTTTGAATAGGGACAATATTCTTTACTTTTTAGATAAATCCAGAAGTAATACATCTTCCTCTAAATCGTATGTAGTGCCTCTTGCAAACCTTGGAGAAGTTGGACCTGTCATTATTACTTATTTCATTGTTGTTCTTACGGTCTTCAACATTTTCAGAGAATTTGTGCAGGTACAATTAAAATCAGTAGCCTTTTTTATACTAGAGATCACCTGTCTGGACGTATGATTCGTCTGGCGGATCATCAAAGTGTAAACACGAGACGAACTATCTAAAAGAACTATACATGTAAACGAATTTAGCAAGTTGGAGATTTGAAGCGAGTAACGAATTAATTATCGTTTTATTCCATAATTCGTCTACATTCCGTATTTTTACTCACAGGCGGATGATGCGTCTAAAAGAACTACACGTGCAAATCAGTCTAAATATACGAACTGTTCAGATGATTCGTCTTGATAGAGAATCCGTCAATTTGTTCTTATTTATGCACAGATGAACTAGGTTTTGCTTGCCCATGCTCGTCCAGACGGATGATCTATATCTCCTATATATCGATCGAATGTTAATCATTTAGATTTACTCAACACAGAAAAACTTTGTCGAATGTGGATTCGGCTTGTGAAAGACAAATCTAAAATTTGGGATCAACATTTAAATACAATTTTCTATAATACTATTAACCCCTTCCTATGTACAGTAAATTTTGTTAAAAAGATCCGCATTTAGTGACTTAATTTATTTACTAAAAGTGCAAATCAGAGTTTAACAGCTGTTATATAAGGCGTATAAGTCATAAGTCAGGGCTTTGCTATCTTTTTGTACTATCCCATTTTGAATTCCCTTTTTGTCCATTACCTTTGGCGCAAGACTTTTCATTTGACAATGTTGTTTGTATGGTATTTAGTCGCCGTGTAGTTTTCTCACCATAGTGTTATATAAATTAGAAACTTCCAATGAAGAATACTAAGGTTTTTAATCATTTGGGAAAATGCTCTTTATTAATTTTTTACCTTAGATGAACACCTATCGCTGGAAATATTTTAAGCTTTGGTCAAACTACTTTGAATGGTTGTTGTTTTTGTGCGTTCTATATTTCATGTTCCCAATAAAAACGAGCAAAACCGAGCCTCAGTTTAGCGCAGCGGCCATTGCAATTGTAATCTCTTGGCTTGACTTCATTTGGTTCCTACGAAGAATTCCCGACACCAGCACATACATCTTGACTTTCCAGAAGACGTTTAAAACCATGATGAGGGTGTGTGAAGATAAAAAGTTTCTTTTTGTGTTTTAGTGTAATGATTTCATTCATTGAGGTTTTTATCTTTCACATTATTACAATAACTTCTTTTATAGAAGTTTGATTTAGTATGCATTTTAAAGCATTATAATTGGTAATACACAAAACAGGTTTTAAAAAGTTAGACAAAATCTACACGTTAAAAAAACTTTTTATTCTCTGCAATTCAGATAAAATTTCGCGTTAGTTGACAGAGAAAAAAGAGAGCAAATTTAATTTTTTTTTGAGCAGATGATAGTTTAATTTAAAAATTTGCTCGACAGAAGAAAAAAACTATAGATGTTAGCTAGTCGATTTCTGCAAGTTTTCTCCTCATTAACAAAAAAATCCTTCATTTCAGATGTTTATATTGATCATGCTGTTTGTTATGGCATTTGCATCTCCATTCTACATCTTGATGGTTGAAAAGCCGAGGTTTAAAAGCTTTCCCATTGCAATCCTGAGTACGTTTGTTTCGATGTTAGGGGACTTCAAATACGATGATTTATTCCTGAAAATTTCCGACTTCAATGCTTTTTATTATTTAAAACTCTTCATGTTTGTCAATTTCCTGTTGTTGATGGTACTCGTTGTAAACAACGTGTTGATTGGCTTAGCTGTCGGAGATACCCAATACGTGATGGAAATGGCAAAAGTAGAAAGGCTGAAGCAACATGTAAGTCTGGATCACATATCTTAATTTCATCAAGACAATTGCTACGTTGGTTGGCGAGCTTTTCCTTTTGTTCAACAAGCTCTGTTTTTGCCAAATTAAAATTACAATAGTTGTGGCATATTTGTAATTCTCACTATGCGTTTATAAAAATGTCAATTTGCTCGGCCTTCAATGTGATGTTTGCAATGACCTCGATTTCTCCGAAAGGCCTCCCTGGTTTACATAAACCTGTGCAAACACAGTCAACATCTTTTATACTTTTAAAGAATACGTTATTGTCAAACTGCAAAGGGTTTATGTCGTAAATTCATGAAAGATGCTATAGCTATACACTCTTGTTAATGCAACTTGACTTTCCCATTTTTTCTCGTTTAAATTTCCACTCTAGTAGTTATAAATAAAAGACTAACATCAACAATATTATTCAAAGAAATGACGACAACAAAACTTTGAGCATTTTTTGTTGTCAAATCATTCTATTTATCATTTTTCTCGTTAAAGAACATAAAATAAATGATTTTCGGAAGTTACATTTTCATGCAGCAAAGGCTTTCACCTCAACAGCTTTTTGTGGCATCCAAAGTGTCATTAGCTAATAACGTTTTTCTTGCATAATTCTCACCCCAATGTCGAAAACGAGTCTTTGAGTTCAAAAAAGTTCTTTTACTTGGTTTCACTATATACAGACTACAAAAAATATATTAAAGTGGTTTACCGCGTTCTATTGATTTGCAAATTAAAAAGAACTTTGACAAATTTTTAAACTTTAATCGTTATTTCGTAGACTGTTGAACTGGGTGTATTTTTACATATACAGCGTCGTATTTTAAAATCTTAACTTTAAAGAAAAAGTCATGGAACGATATTTTGCAATTATAAGCAGAGTATTTTTCTACTGATTCCAAAAGATTATCGTCTAGATTATTGATTTTTGACGATTTTGATACCTAAAGCCTGCGAAAGGTGACAAAAAAAAATTGAAATTGAAACACATCGCTTAACACCTGTGCAATGCAGATTTTTGCTCGTTAAATATACATAAAATCAAGTGAAGTAAAATTTGAGCAACAGTTTCCCTGCTTGCGTATTGAATGTCATTTTTCCGTTTTTGAACAACATCTAAGCAACCAGTAATACTTTTTATGAATTTTTTTGTACTTCCTTATTTCAATTATTAATTCTTAACATCTATCTTAGAAGTGGGAATTTACCTTTTTTTTAGATGAAGTTTATGATAACAGTAGAATCATCGCTATTTGCCCGACTGCCACACTTCCGTCAAAGGAAACACCAAAGTGTGTACACAGAATATCCAAATTGCAAAACGTCTTTTGCAAATTATTTAAAACGATTTTTGGCAGGAGAAATGAACACCTTTTCCATTAAAAGAGCTGAAGACGAAGTTGAAACTGAGGTTGTTACACGACAGCAATTTGAAGAAATTTTGAATGTTAAATTTGAGGAACATCATGAGAAAATGAAAGAATTGCTCTTTCGGAAAAGTTGGAAAATTTAGGCAAGAAAGTTATATTATGGTATCAAGATACAGTGACATTTGATCAACAAACTCAAAAGATTAAAACATTGTTGTACATGTAAAATGGCATATTATATATCAAAATTTCAGTAATTATACTTTATTGAGACATGTACTAGTAAACAAAAGAAGAAAGCTAAGCGGAAAAGAGTATTTTGAGAAGGTTCATCGTTTTTGTAGTCGATTGGCTGAGTAAATATTAATATTCATAGATAAAGTTTTTGTTTTCAAGTTGTTAACATAACTTTATTTTCTTTCGAAAATTAGACCAATGAACTGCTTTAAAAATTTCGTGAATGAACAATATAAAATCAAGATTTATACATACCGATAGCAAGGATCTTTTTTATCATAATATGGAACAGAATTTAATGGTTTTCTTCCTCCGCTGTTATTCTTATATCTGTCTGCACAGAAAAAGCTCCAATCTAAAACTGATTAATAGTTAGTGCTATGCATTTAAACAAGTTACAAAAAATTATATACAATAAAATCAGTTATTATGTCTCTACCTCAAATCTTTTGATAGCTCTTCTGGGAACTCAAAACACTGGTCAAACCATATTAAGAAACGTTTACAACAAACCAAATTTTCAGATGGATCTGATAAGTTATACATTTTATAACTTGCATGTGAATGCAATTTCACCTTCATGCGGTGTCTGTTGTCTTATTTTTGACCAATAAGATGTCAAGAGTATTGTTGAAGTAGCTAATTATAGTTCTGCTAGTCGATGGTCTTAAAGTGAAATTTTCAAATACTTTTTTATTTGCTTAAAGAAATATTCAGATTTTAAAAAACAGTGTTATATATTGAGGTGCATTTTAATGTGAAAATTTACAAATTTCAGCTACGAAAATTGGTCCTCGTTGGTGAACTATTTTGCCGCCATGTTTACTGAATTGACATCATAAGAAAGGCAGATTTGGCACGTTAATTAGAAATGATTCTCAACAAATATATTGCCGTGTTGAGAATATGTACTCGTTATGACGTTAATTTAGAAAAAAAGGCAGTCGCAAATGCTGGTACAAGAAATGCCATCTGTAAAATTGGTCAGAAAAGATACCTTTCTAATTCTGTTTAGGGGACAATGATTGTGAGCCAATAAAGCATATTACAAATTTCACTTCATATGCACTTCAAGGCAAATTAAAATTGTAACAATTACAGAGCGGCATAGCATCAAATTTCAAATATATTTATACCAATTGTTAAAATCGTGGTTGCCCAGGATTCATATTATTCTGCAACAATGATCCACACTTTAGGAATTATTAACTGTAAAAGTTTGACTGTTTTTCAGAAGCAAGCGAATGTATCAGCAGCTGTATAATATTTCTGTGTGTTATTTAAGTGAAGATTGTAACCATTCTCCTTATCATTTGAATTTTGAACTTTAAGTAAATTACTCTGTGTTTCATGAAGATTTTACAAAATAATGCACTAAGAAAAATCAACCATGTTTGCTGGATAATTAGCTATAACTAACACAGTTATGCAAGAAAAATGATCCCAACCCAATCTTATTGAATTTCTTCTCAAAAAATCTTATGTGATAAGATTTACGGTTTGAAATTATTAGCTGCAGTTAAATCTCTTCATCATCCGTGAACATTTCAATATCTCTTTGCACGACAACCCATTTTAAAATTAATTTTTAACAGCCTTAGATAGCTTCTTATTGGAATCACCTAAAAGTAAGAACTTCTATTTGTTATAGTAATAGAAGAGTGCACACTCAAAAGTAATGAAAAGTTAGACACAAGTCTTTTTGCCGACTAAGTGACAGATTCTTTATCCCAACTAAAAAAGAAAAACTTCAGACAGTCGGCAGATTTTACATTAGAAAAACACGATAGGTTTTATCATTACCAGTTTGAATTTTATGCATCTAAATCATCAAATGACTTTTGGTTAAACTATAAGGAATAAAGAGAATCTAACTGAATTTTCAAACCATTAGATGACCCTTCAACTTTGGCCATTTCATCTTCACAATTGACCAGAAAATGCCTTTTTATCACTTTCTAATAATCTACTTTATTAGCTCCATTTTAGTCAATTGTGTTTACAGATTTTGGCAAACAATATGAACCACCACAGCCCACCATTCACACCAAGTATATCGATCTTCTGTTTTCCTTGCATGTTGTATAAAGAAATATTTACTTTACATTGAAACCATTTCATTTAATGAGCACGTGACCAGAAATATCAGATATTTTCAACATCAAAAGCAAGGCTTTACTAACTTGTTATCGACTGCATAAAATAATAATCGTCAGTATGAAGTTTAAATCTTCGGTCTTTTATCAACACAAACATTTATTATGTCTACAGGGTGTATCCAAAAAGAAGATTTTGAGAAATTGATATATTGTGATAATTTCAATGCCTATCACTATGCTAACTCCATGGGGGCATAAAGTATTGTCAGTTACATGCATATAATTCATGTCTTTATTATTTGCATAGCAGTTTTTCTGCGCCTCGGAGCTCAAGATAATGTCCATCCATATAGGCATATTTTGCTGCTTTAATTTCTTTTGAAATCATAGTTTTTTACCGAATATCAAACTGAAAAAAAGTGAGAGGCAATTTAGATTTATTCAATGCAGTCACTTGACAAACGTAGAAATTGAGCATCGCGAAAGAGCAAGCAAATTCTTGACAACTGATTGGTCCACATCATAAGAGTAGTGATTGGTTAATTAAAGAATAACATTTCATATTCAATGGTGCATCAGTTTTGCGTTACTTTTTTGAGGTTAACTAGGTTTCATTATTGGTTGTAAGGGCGAATTCATATTATGCCCAACCATGAGATCCAACATGCATTTAACAATCATATAATTTCTTAGCAGGTTGTCGTCTACTAGCAAAGTTTTCAGGTTGCTTTATGAATTTCACTAAAGCAGTGAAAATAAATGTAATATAACAAGGTGATTAAGATAAATTATACAATGTGGGTGCAATCACGATAGTGATTGGCTAAGAACCTATAGATAATTTTCAATGTCTTGCAACCTGTACGACATTGAAAATTATTTTTAATTGCGGAAACTTGCTCGAGATTGGCAAGCGTTTTGCAAACTGTTTTCGCTCAAATTATTTAGAATAAAAACGTAAAAACACACAAAAATGGGTTACACTGCCAGTCCAAAGTTGTCATCGAGTATTTATAAGAAAAAGACAAAAGAGAACGAAAAAGGCAAAATATATGTAATGTCGAAGCAGGGAAAACATGGCTTCCATACAAAAAATATTTTGAAAGCTTCTGTATTTAAAATTGTATAGTAAAATGATTATTGAATTCGGCTTTCACATGATATTAAGAATCGGTCAAAGTTATCCACCTCAGCTTTCCTTTGGCAGACAACAATGACCTTGGTCGAATAATTCTTGTTATCAAATGCTCAATCTCATTCAATAACTATATAATGTGTCGTATTATGTAAAATAGTTATTTTTTATCCTCATCTATTTAGTATATATTTTAATATTTATATCTATTTTAATAGTTATCTTTATATATCATCATCAAAATAATTATAGAAAAAGAAAAACAAAAGTTTTAGACTTATCTATAAATTAAAATATAAATATGCAGGACTGAAATACGTAAAATTAACAAATATCACCACAAAAATTTTGTATCTTAATTCTGTCTTCATAGCCTAGAATGTTAAATCCCAATCACTCGTTTTCAATTCTCTTATATGACATAGTTTCTACTTTCAAGTATCTTTTCATTTGTTGTATTCATCAATACGTAAATTGCAAAGATTCTACATGTATGTTTCTTAGCAATAAAGATGCCTTTCAATTTATTTTTTCTATAGAAATACGTTTCACATAAATACACGCAAACTCATTCTTCTCAACCATTTGAAAGAGAGAAGGTTTAAAATAATAGGCTTACATTACTAGAAGCCATCGTAAATTTATTTAATGAATCAGTTCAAACTTATTGATACTTTTTTGTGAAAGGGCAACACGCCAAGCCATACTCCTATGCAGTGGCTATAAAAAAGTTCGAATCCAACTATGTTTGACTTCTGCCAACAGCATACTTGAGTAAAGTTTCAATGCCGATCGAAATGTCAATCCGTGTTTACATAGGAAATCGACACAAGGATTGACATTTCGCAGGAATTTTCAAATTTGAAGATGGCGAACATAAACATTATAGCAACCCTTTTTTTTGTTGCTCCTGCGTTAATACAGCTTAACACTTGCATGAAACTAATTGTTGTTTTTCTTCGCACTCATTTTAGTCCATTTAGCCTCCTTATTTAATCACGAGCTTCAATTTTCCAGAAGACACTACGCATGGTGCATGCGTGCTTCGTCATTAATCACAATCTCATTCCAGAATGAAACTCAATTCGTGTTTACATGAGATTAAAACTAAATTTCGATCCGGAATGAAATTTCGATCCGGAATGAAAATAGGAATGAACTCGATCTAGATCGAGTTGTGACTCATTCCGGATTCATGTAAACACCCCCTAAGGAACATAAGCAAGGATATTATCCAATCGAAACCAAGCATTTTCTTTTTATTCAACATACATTTTCCTGATCATTCAAAGCAAAAAAGAATGCAAATTGCTTGTGGTATCAGCTATCAAAATATAATTTTAAAAATACGAGTACTGATAGGTTAACCAGTTGAAAACCCTCGATTCTATAATATTGTGCATGGAAACACGGAAAGTTCAGTCTGGCTAAAGTCTAACAGGTTGCATGGCTTGCACGAGAAATTAAAAAGAATATTATCAATATGCACTTAAAATCAATAATTCTTAATATTTTCTTAAAAGGCCATTTTAATAAAGGCAATAGAAAATAATATCCTAGTTTCTATGGAGTTATAAGAGTCACAGAAACATTTATGAATGTTTAAGTAAAACCCGAAATTGCTTAGAAACACTCAAATTCGTGCTTGCATTTGTGCTAGCCACGAAATTTCTCGTTTTTACAAAACTTTCCTTCCATCAAATTTCATCAAAATTCTGATATAAAGAATCAAAAATTTTTAGTCCTGCTTTTAATCCTGATTGAAATATTTATAGTTTGAACGAAGGTTTTTGGGCCAGCAATAGCGTTTTTCATTTCTGAACATTTTTATGGAACAGTAGTAGATAAGGCTGGTCAGAATACATTACTGAAAATATATTTCCTTTTAATATGCTTCCCAGCGAATCAGGGAGTATTTGATTCTTAAATAGTCTTTTGAAATTTTCAACAAACAGGTTTGTTGAAAAAGTCTTTTGAATTTAAAATGAGCTTCTATAATTTATTCTGACCTACTCCAGAACCGCCACTGCATGGAAATTAAAGGCATCAATTTTCGTTTGAAGAGACAAAATTTCATGGGTTCGAATCCATTGATTCAGTAAGTTTCATCCATCTTTCTTTGAATCAACTTATATGTCGTTCTTTGAATTTCAAATTTTCAATGATTTTTTCCATATGAATAAATTTTAGCATTGCTTTTGAATATGCTCTAAAAATACAGAAAAAGGAACTGTTTGCTGTATAAATTAGTTATCAAATAAAGTTTTGTACGTGTAGTCCCTCATAATCGTTGTATGGATTAAGAGAACTTAACTTGTGTCATAGAGGTTTTTGTTTGTATTTGTTCAACGTAGAGATATCTAAAGTGCTAAATAGCTATATTGGAAGAAAATCAAGGAAGGTAGTAGCTCTTTCTATTTGTCAGTTGTCGATGGAAGATTCAGAAACTGGTCAAGCAGAGCAGGAATCACTAGAAGCTTCATGATAACCAGAAATTGTGCAAGTTTGAGTGGGAAATTTCTTAGATACTAAAAACGTGCGTGTATAGTGTGGCAATCATTTTTTTAAGTGAGACAAAGAAAATTTGATAAGCTGGTGTCTGAAAAAATGATTTGCATGAAACATTCCCCGAAAGCTTGTGTTTCACAACAATCTGCATAAAAAAGCGTGAAATTAATTTGGTTGTGTTGAATGCTTTAGTCGATAAACGTGCGAAATAAATTTTGGATTAGAAAGAATTAATTCCCTTAATCTAACATAGTGAAATATCGATGATTAATTTTTCGTATCATTGCAAGTCGTCCCATTTTGCCTATCTTAGTCTTGCAATTATAGAATAATTGCGCAGACGTGAGACTTACATTACTGCATGGTAAAATCAGTCATCTCTTAGATCTTAATTGATGCAAAGGTGAGCATGAACATATTTCATGTAGAAAGATATTGGTTCTTCAACTCGTGACAAACCGACAAAACTCTTTCCTTCCTTAAACTAATAACATTTTTGTTGTTGTCACATTTTATGTTTAGCGTCGTTCAACCATAATAACAGCAAACACTATGATATGCTTTCCTGAATGTCGACAAGTTTCTTTCGACATCTTTGATATTATTAATTAATTTGAAAATTATTAAATAACAAATGATATACTTTAAACTGTACTTTATGCACGCCATATTTTTATTTGATTGACATCACGACTGATTTAATTTAAAATCAACAGAGCTGTCCGACGGGGCATCTTTATCACTGAGGAATATCTTGCTAAGACACAGGCTGTCGAAAAGCTTAAAATAGCAGAATGTGATGACTTTGGCCGAAATATATTTCATCTTAGTGTTTTAAGAGAAAATATTCTGGAATTTCTATTACAAAAGTTTGAGAAGGTATGCTGTATGTGTCTAATTAATGCAAATGATATAAAGCAAGGAAGTCAAAATATTTTCATCCATGGGCGTGAAAAGATTGATGATGGGGAAGCGTTTAGTAGTCCTAAATGCATGTTAGAATTATATGAAAACAATTAATTTTAAAAGAACTTATTACTGCATGTCATGATATTTTTTACATGAGAATGCCCCCACTCCCCTTTTTGATCTTTTTACGCCTATGTTTTGATCGATGACATTACACATCACATTTCAAAACAACTCTATTCTTAACTTTTCTTCATGCATAAGACTCAGATCTCAAAAAATGACTAGAAAGCGATCAATTAAATAACAAAAAGAATAGACCAACATGGTTCTAATTAAAACTTGGTCGTAGAAAACTTTAACAAAATATTAGCCTTAAGGCGACAGTTATTGAAAAAAGAAAATGTTGAGCACTTAAGATAATACAAAGGATAAGTTCTATTTAACTCTTTTTTAACTGTTCGATAAGTAAGCTTAAACACACTTTATGGTTGAAGATTGTGATTTGTAAGAAGCTATTGAAGGTTCAATGCTTGGTCGGAAGCAATTATGCAGACAGTCATAACAGAGTAAAAAGCACTTAGTAGTTGTACAATTTCATAAAGCTCTTTAATTAACTGTGCAGCCTCAAAAATTGTTGCAGAAATGATATGTGACCCATGAGTATGTCACAAGATTTCGTTCTTTTTATAGTTTCTTGTTGTGATTTTTAACAGCATGAACAGCTCATGGAAGCTCTCCACAGTGAAGATTTAAATGGTCACACGCCAGCTCATGTGGCGGTGCTGCACAATCAAAGAAAGGTAGTTTTCAATAACACCTTCAAAGTTATAAAAAAAGCTGCTGGTTAGAAACTCATAAATGAAATAGAATCAAATGTGTTTTGGGGAAAATATTTTTAATTTTTGTCAAGTATTCAAATTTTCTCAGAGTCTGCTATTGTTTAGTTCTAATAAATTCTTGTATTACAAAAATTCTTGTATTACGCTCAAACTGCGCAAGCGCAGCGAGCGTAATATACAAAGTTTATAACAATGTGCCCTCCCGGCTATCACCATAGTAAAATGGTGACTCCTACACTTTGCACACAGGACGTACGGTTGCACATTGTATGGATTGTATTGTAAAGTCACCAGAGTGCTCGAAACTATAAAGGCGAGCTTTGCTTAAAGCGAAAGCGGTGAACGGCTCTTTATGAGACTCTCTACACAATCCGAGAGCGCTCAAACTGCGCAAGCGCAGCGAGCGTAATATACAAAGTGTATAACAATGCGCCCTCCCGGCTATCACCATAGTAAAATGGTGACTCCTGCTCTTTGGACAATATATATATATATATAGATTTGTATCCTACAAACGTTCACCATGTTATATTCTTCAAGACCATTGTCAATAAAGTTGGAATTGCCATGAAGCAGTGCGTAGCAGGCCCAAAAATTTGGGCCTCCTAATTTTTGCTGTCCACTCTCTGCAAAAACAACACATTTCTAAAGAAATGAACATTGACAATGCTCTGAAATCTTGCTACGCCATTGCTCTTGTATCAACTACATTTTTAATGAAATATGGGGTAGTATAAATGAAAGACCAGAATGTATAATCTTTTATTTTTCACAAATTCATTCATTTTCGCAAAACTGTGGACAACCAAAAATTAGTAATTGTATGTTACGATGAATGCATTTCATAGCAAACTGTAATTAACACTGAACTATACAGCCATTTTTCATTTCCTGGAAAATCTATTAATTGACAAAGGGAGAAAGGCTTCATTTTAAGTTTTGAATGTTGCCATAATTGCTCGACTCTCATTTCTCTTCAAAATGTAAAACTTAATTTTTGTAGAGCATACAAATCCTGGCTAGTGTAGATGAAAATATTTACACGCTTCGTAACTCAAAGACAGGACAGACACTCATCCACTGCGCAATTTACCAGAAATTGTTTCACTACGAAAGGGACTTTCTGGTTCCTTGTATCGTGCAGGATATCCTTTCAGCTCGACCAGTGTCCCTGATTGATAAAGACTACGAAGGGAAAACACCTCAACATTACGCCGCTGCTCTTCACGAGTGCTTTGTCTTGGATTTCCTTCTCACACGAGGTGCAAACATCCTGGAGACGTAAGTGTCGTGTTTCTAATGATGTCTGTTAACAGAAGTATACTTTTCTAAAGCAACACACCGTTTAAAGGGAAAAAAATATATGTATACTAACTAGCATATATATATATTAACAGAGTCATGATCGAAGATACATGCAATAAACACATATATCAGATGAACACCATCAAAAAAACTTTTAAAATAACTTAGCTTTCCTACTCATCATAAAAGTTGCAAATAGTGAGTAGTATATTTTCCGTGATTAGCCTGCTTGTAATCCCTCAAATCAAACATACCAGAAAGATCGGTTTATTCTGCATCAACGCACCTCAGAAAGATATTCTATCAACAAATTTAGCTTATTTATAGTCCATGTATTTGCAAAATAGAGTCTTTGGCCATTTGCTCAAGTAGTTTTGCATTAACATTATTAAACAAACTAAAATACATATCTTTTAATGTTTAAAAAAATTTTGACGTGTTCAATCCTTATAATAACTTACAAAACCTTCCGGCTTTTGAATTTAACTCACGAGTTTATGCTGGAAATATGCGTAGTTGGCTATAGTGATCACTTTTGCTGAGCTGCAAACACCTTCGTCTCTGTTTCATTTGGAATAAATAAATAGCACTCTGTGTACTGTGTACAACAGATTTTTTTATTTTGTTTGATTAATACGATTTTTAAACAGTCAGTATAGGAAGAAAAGAAATTTTGAGACCATTATAGCTAATGTCCCTTTATCATGGATATTTTAAACATTGATTTTAGTTATATTTGATTTAGTTTTTAACATTTATATTTGTATGTTGTAGTTATAATTTTAATTAAATTTTAATTTTTTCATTATAGCTAATGGTACCAATAATAAAAAGTATTTTTGCAGTGAATGGCTGGTTAAAATAGCTGTTGCTTAGGAGAATTTGATGCATTCTTGTGATCCTATTTTTGAGAAAGTATAAGAATTGCCTTAAGGTGGACTGCAATCATTCCTCAAGAAAACAAACTTTGACTGGAGAAAGAGATATCCGCCATGTTGATTACATGAAATTTGAATAAAAAACAAGAAAAGTACTTTGTTAAATTTAACCATGATGGCGGCTGTAATGTTTGATGCAAACCACCTATATGACGCGACGACGATTCATGACGTACACAGATTAATGATCTTTTCAAAAAAGATAAAAAAGTTTTTTCAATAATTTGCCTCCAAATAAAGACCCATCGATTGATTAACTTCATTTATTATCCTACAGACTTTGACAAACAGTGTCATGCATCAATTATTTATTGATTTACAAGCTATTTAAAGATAGTCATATGCAATCACTTCAAACTGCTTTTGTATTGGTTAATGGAGAGCAGTTAATATAACCTAGTATTTGTGTGAAAACAGATCACGAAAATGATTTATAAACGATGGATTCTCTTTTCTTATTGCACTCATCACGCATGTACATACGTTTGATATGGTTGGCTTTCTCAAAATTGACCACGAAGGAGCAATATTTTCTCTAATGTAACCGCTACTTTAATCAGGTAGCCAATTAGTCATTCATGCTTACTCCACGTTCTTGTATAAACCTATTTATCTTAGCGATACTCTTGGCCTTAAATCTATTTTTCAGCATATCACAATGGCTTTTCAAAACCTTGGTACCAAAATTTCAACTTCAAACCAGAATATAATTGACCAAATGACTAATTATAAGAATACGATCCCAATTACATTTGTCCTGTAAATTCTCTTTAAGTGACAACAGAAATTTAACTCTGCTCCATGAAGCTGTTGAGGCTGGGTCATTACCCAATGTTACACTGCTGGCCCTAGATGAAGTTACAATGTTGAGTGCAAGGGACGTGGAAGGAAGAACACCTTTACATATTGCCTGTGGCAAAGGTTTTCGAGATATACTGTTGTTTCTGCTAGAAATTGGTGCTGATCCACAAGAAAAAACGAAAGTTGGTGAGAACTGTTTGGAAGTGGCTATCAATAATGATCAAAGTGATATTGTTAAAGAATTATTGCTTAGCAAAAATTGGAAAGCTGTAAGTAACATAATTTTCTTTGTGGAAAAATGATGACACGTTTCATCTCAGCTGAAATTCTGTTTTTATATAGTTGGTCGAAACTATCCTTGAGCAGAAAGATATAACGCTATTCGTCTGCTATAAAAATACTTGTCAGAAAATTTTGTTTTCGTGTCGAAAGTGCATTAAGAAGTATCCTAATGTAGCTATATACGAGCTACTACTTTTTTTTTATGGAAATTGGGCGTGTCATTTAATGAAAAATTTATTTACTTTTAGCTAATTTGTGATTGTAAGAATGGGCCAAAGAAATGTTTTGTGCACCTTGTTAAGAAAATGCCCGATCAAGCCAAGCTTTTGCTAGATCGTTGTATTATGTCAAGTAATCACAAGCGACATTCACCTGACTACAATGTCACTTACGATTTCTTTCTTCTTGATACTACAGGTAAGTATTATTTCTATATAGTGCGATGAGAACTTTCTCAAATTTTTAATTTGAATTAGTAATGTAACTTTCCACATCCTGCATGAACGCCAATGATGTGAATGTTGATCAGCAAGTTTAGCGCAAGAAAAATCTCACAAAAACTAAAAATTAGATTGCAGATTCCATACATGCGTCAGCAAATTTTTTTGTATGTCTCGCAAATAGAATTAAGGTACTTAGTTCCTGCTAGTCGCAGACATTACAGGAATGCTTTTACTGTATAATTGCAGATACCACTAGACCTATTTTTGAAGGTATTGAAGTGATTATCAAGAACAATGAAGAGCAATGTCTGAACCACAAGATTTGCAAGAAATATTTTAACCTTAAATGGCGAGAAAAAGGATGCTATCTTTTCATAATCGATTTGATCGTGTTTTTGTGCTTTCACATATGGCTCAATATTTATGTCTTTTTGGTCCGTGGCGCTATTGCTGAAAACGGGTTGCCTGAGTACGGTAAGCAGATGTGTGTTCACACTATTAAATGAATGCAAGATTGCTTTGCTGCAGCTTTGAAGTTATGAATATTTTGTGGTGAATGCACTCACAAAGCAGCAGTTTTGAAGTATTTATTTTTAAAAATTCATATCTTGCTGGAATAAATATGGGAGTTATATACTGCTGTTCACTTTTTACAGAATATTTTTATACTAACCAACATCAAAAGCTCAATTCACTCAATTGCTTTCGTTTTGAGCACTCTACAACAAATATTTACTCTGCAGCATTTGTAAAAGCGATTGTAAACCAGTTAATGCGGCACGCATGCACTGTACATAAATGATAAATGACATAATACCTATAACTATAACTATCTTCTTGCTTTCATTTGTCTCTATAATAGTCAGAATTTAAGATTTTTTACTAAAATGAAATATCAAGCATTAAAGACATAACTCTCTGTCAGTGTCAAGCCAAATTTTATTTGTGTGACAACAGGTTGATGACATTCAAACAAATAAAAAGAAAATTAAATGGTTTGCACTTGTAAGCAAATGAACTTAATCAGTCAAAATTAGTGCGAAACTATCAGTTAAAACAAAGCTATAACATCTGCTGAGTCAAATCGTCTAGTGTCAATATCAAAGAACTGATAAAAATAATATCATCAATAGATTCATGAATGAATTTTACTGATTAGTAAATCTATATATTTTTTATGTTTGTGTATTGCACTGCATTTGTAATAACAATGTATGTTCAAATTATGTAAATGGTGACTAATTTATTGTATTTTAGAGAAATCCAAAAATTCTACTGCACAATCGCCAACATATGTTGCTCCTTTAGCAAACCCTGAAGATACTGGACCTGTTATTGCCGCTTCCTTTATTATGATTCTCACGTCGTTCAACATTTTTAGAGAATTTGTGCAGGTTTCAACCAGTATATTATCTCTTTTTCATTCAACTCTTTAATGAAGTTTTGCATTTTGCAACATAAAGCTTCAAAACATTTCCAGCAAATTTTCTTAAGAATTTTTTACAAACACTGAAGTGCATGGTAACCCATATATTTTTAATTCCTTCTGATATTATTTCGAACGGTTGTTATAACGATTGCATGCTTCAGTGTGGTCAAAAATGTGAGGGATGCTATTTGTCATTAACTTGTAGATGAACACTGATCGTTGGGAATATTTTAAGCAACTGTCAAACTACTTTGAATGGATTTCGTTTTTGTGCGTTATCTATTTCATGTTCCCAATAAAAACAACCAAAACCGAAAGTCAATTTATCGCAGCAGTGATTGCAATCTGGATCTCTTGGTTTGATCTTATTTGGTTCCTAAGAAGAATTCCTGACTCAAGCACGTATATCTTAACGTTGTTCAAGACTACAAACACTATAATAAAGGTGCGTAGGAAAAAAACATACATGCAAGGAATATTATAAGGATTTCACACTAGGAGGCCATTAAGTTTAAAGGGGCCTGCAAAGCGTGAGCCATGTGGCAGAGGTTTGAAAATACACCTCATCAGTAAAATTTGAAAAATTGCAATTTCGTAACTGCTATTTTATGAAATTCGTAGAGCAATTTCACAACGGCTTAATGGTCTTATGAAATAAACGCTCTTACTTTATGTGCAAGCAATATATTATCTGCAATAAAATGTTTTATATCGTAAGTACAATTAAAAAACATCAAAAGGGCCCAAGAAGTGGCAGGCCAATTTTGTTTCATTGAAAGGTCAACAAAGGGCTCTGGAGGCCAAATACTCCCTAATATAAAAATGTTAAAATATTCCTTAAATATATATATCTAATAGTTATTTTTGCATGTAGCTATTATTCTGTGATGTAATTTTGTTGAAGCTGCCCTTCAATAATGCTCATTATGTTAAAAACAACAGATAACTACTCTTTAATAGCAACCAACTTTTTATTTCATGCAAATATTTTTCTCTTAACAACTTTGAGAAAAGTAATGGAGGAGACAAGTCATAAATAGAGTAATTGTCTATATAGTATACAAAAAATCTTCATACAGTAGCCAAGCCACCTGCAAGTTTTATAGTCTTATTATATAAATTTCAGATCACAACACTGTTTATTTCTTTAGGAAAAATCTATTGTTTTTTTGTGAGAGTCAACGCATAAGAGTTTACAAAATTTCATGCTTTTTCCTTGCAAAAAAGCACTGTAGAAGTATTAAACTGAATGTTGAAAACGAGCATTTAACTTTTTGATGTGCGAGCTACTTTTTCTTAAGTTTGATTCAGTTTCTGTTGCACCGGTTACTATTGCGCACAACATGCAGTAAAGGGTTGAATGAAGACATATTTTGCATGTAAACTACAGCTCATATAGTTTTACGGATGATGGCAATAGATTTTTATTTATTTCAGATGTTTCTGTTAATTATGTTGTTCTTTATGGCATTTGCATCTACCTTTTACATCTTGATGGCTGAAGACTTGAGGTTTGAAAACTTTCCCATAGCTGTGTTGAGCACGTTTGTTTCAATGCTTGGAGAGTTCCAATACGATGATTTATTCCTGAAAGCTGGTCCTTTCAAGAATTTTTATTATTTGAAACTTTTGATGCTTTTCAACTTCCTACTTTTTATGGTGGTCGTTGTAAACAACGTGTTGATTGGCTTAGCTGTCGGAGATACCCAATACGTTATGAAAAAGGCCAAAGTAGAAAGGCTGAAGCAACATGTAAGTTTGGATCAGATCACTTCCACTGGGAAAATTTAAAATCTGATCGAATAAGTTAAATGCGTTATTTGAAACATGAAAATACTCAGTTTGTTTGTCAATTTTTTAGTTAAAAGTTTCTTCATAATACTTTTATATGCTTTTGACAAATTTTACATAGTTTGGTTGTAACATATACGTCAAATTGTTACCACTCTGTTTATACCCAAATTTATCTTTTTACTAAGCCAGTATTTCGAGGGACTCAGGAGGCCCATTGCCACCTTTTCATGTCTACGCTCCGGACGGCGTGCCTGAATTAATACAACTACAGAATTAACACTATACTTAAAGAGAATGCCGGATTTGTCCACGGAAAAATTTCGTTCAGTATCCTTAAGATATTTTTCCAAAATTTTTGGTGGCTAATCGAAACGTATCAATATAATGAGTTTGTTCAGTCTGTTACTTGGTATCAAGATAAAAAAAATAATGCGTTTTACGTACCTTATTATCCAAAAAATAAACGTTTTACGTACCTTATTATGCAAACAATCAAAGCAAGATGGCAAGACTGTAATCTAGCACCATAAAAATCTAGCTCCACAATCATCATCACCATCAACACTACCACAAAATGCAACAAATAACTTAATTGATAATTGCTTTCTTCTACAAGCTTCTAGGGGTAGTAGCAAGCATTAAAAAAAGCATGTCTGTAATAAAATTGAATCATTTTATGTACGACATTTTTTTGTCTTTAATGCGTTCGGCGCATGTAAAGTTCGACGTTTGATACAAGCCTTAGTGCCATTTAAGTAGAGACGAATTACTGACGAAATTGTTAACAAAACATCTTTAGAATATTTTTATAAAAGGCTAAAAAGAGTGCTTTTATTTCGTGTCGTCATTCAGCCTCCATATCTCCAATAGGCTTGTGAATGACTTTAAGCGAAGCGTGCAAGCTAAAATGGATTAAACGGAGTGATGAAATTCCTTCTGCAGTTTGTAACCGTATACTCTCATCATTTATAAAGATATTTTTGAAATTCGTTTATCAGTGTTTTAATTTGTAACATTGGTATTTTATAAACTTTATTACAAAGCTTGCAATAATTGGAAATATGGGAAAAGCTTAATCCCAAATTAAATTGAAACCAGTTTCAAATAAAAATTCTGATGAAAGAAGGAAAGATTGTGTAAAATTTTCAGTCCGAGTACAAGCTTATGTTCATTAAATTTACACGGAAGTGAATAATAGAATTTTGAAAAACATGTAAATTAATTTTGTTTTCAAGTAATATGGTTCTATGTTTTTTATTATACATTTATTTCATACATTTTTATTAAGAAATTTAACTATTTTTCAGGTGAGATATATGATGACGGTCGAATCATCAGTTTTTGCTCGGCTGCCGATCTTTCGTCGAAGGAAATTCAAAAGTATGTACACGGAATATCCAAACCACAAAAAATCTTACGCAGATTATTTCAAAAGATTTTTTACGGGAGAAATGAGCACTTTCTCAAATGAAGAAAGTGAAGACGAAGTTACTGCTGATGTCCTTACACGACAGAAACTTGAAGAAATTTTGAGATTTAAATTTGAGGATTATCACAAAAAAACGAAAAAAATGTTTGCTCGGAGACATTTCAAAAATTAGAGAGATGGTTATTGCAAGTAGGAAATTTCACCTTATTTAGATACCTCGTTGTAAAAGAAATATTTTTCATCTTCCACCAATTTATTTCAACATACATTTTTCATTATTGAATACAGATCTTATCAGAAATACCTTACATCTTGATAAAAGGAGCTCTAGTGCTTAACATTTCTCTAGTTTCTTTTATTGAACTTATCTTACATTGCATAATCAAATATTGAACGGGACTTTTGCGAACTATCGACTTTCGCTCTTTTGTTATTGAAATACAACAGAGATCCCAAAAAAATTTTCACATCTTTGAAATTCGTCGACGTTTGGAATTTGCATGATTCAGGAATATTCATAACCCACAAGGAGCAGTAAACGCAATTGAATACAATGATACTTAGATAAATCGTGGATACTGCCCAGTGAAATTACCAAGCATAAAATTTCTGTATATTGGATTAATGTATGTACACATTACCCAATTAACAACTGTTTTTTTATGGGTGATGAGGAAAACGAGTATATGAACGTAGCTTCTTGATATAGTTTATATATGCTCCAATTGTTTTGTGTTAGCCAATTAATCAATAAATAAAAACGCACTTCATTATGTTTTTACGCAGCAAATAGGTTTCGATTAATAAGTAAACATTCTGAATGCACATGATAAAAAAGTGTAAGACAAATTTTCCTAAAATATTTATCAACAATTCGGCACAAAACGTGATGAGGCAGAAGCTGTTAATCTAAAAAAAGTTGTTTTGGCTATTGCATACATAAAACTGTTATGTGAGGAGGTTTTTATCGAAATGACTTGAAGAGTTCGGTTTTTTATCTTTCGACTGCAAAAACAATTGCAATGTTCAGTACACCGTAACTAGTCCAAGGGGTGCACGTGCATCTTCAAAATATTAGACAATAATTGAAAATGTCGTGTGAAACTAAAAAAAAAAATAAGAAAAGGTCCCTATGATATTGAGCTCAATCACTTTTTCTGGAGTCTCATTTTCATGTGTAGCTGCCAAGGCGTATGTGACGCACTATTATCATATGCCCTAACCTTTACGCGATTACTATAAAACTAATGAACTTGTGACAAGAAATATTAAAGAGGAGGGAAGACAAATTTGAGAGAAAACGCTCTCGTACTGTTAATAGTATTGCTACTTTAACCGACGTTAATGCTTTGTGTGCTGCTTCGAATACACAAGCTTAGCTTGACTTAGTCAATGACAGTGCTGCCAGCGAAAGTTTTTCCAGGCCGAAAAAACCCACAAAAAATCATTTGCAACCCAAAATTTCGCAACTCGCAACCTTACGAAATTTCTTTCAATAGTAATTGCGGCGCTTCTGTCAAACAGTCAAACCTTGGCACTTTCTCTCAGGATGAGGTAATGTGACGACAAACATGTTAGGTCATGAAGGTCAGGCAGGCATGATCGCAGATTTGTGCTTCTAAAATTTCAAATTTCTTGACGGAGTTTGTACGATAATACCGAGTCTTGAAGAACAATATGTCCGTCATCTCTCCATTTGAAGACCGAATGGAAGGTAATATGGAATAATAATATGTAATAATAAGGTAGTTCTCGTGTATACTTGCAGTATTGTGTTTGAGACGATTATCTGATTCGCAATCAGACTAAAAAAGACTAAAATAGTCGGCTGGTCACGAAACTACTCGTTATTTATAAAGTGATGTTAACCACCAAATAGCCACAATTTGAAAGAAATTTCCGGGGCGACGTTAGTCATCGTTATTGTGCATAATTTTGACTTAATCTTGTAGTACCTCTGAACAGCTTTAGCAGTAGCACAACCATTGAACAATATATCTTTCTCATATGCGAGTACAATTTCGATTATTTTAAAGGTTTGCAAAAGATGAAATGTGTTGTGAGTGAAATAATAATGTAGCCATGCATGTGGTAATATAATATAAAATGTTTACTGTATAGCTTCATGATCCTAACTTCCACTGTTGGACAGATCAATATCGATGATAAGTAAAAAAAGCTACGAGATGTTGTTAAACATGTAATATACTCTCAAAACTCCCATACAAACTTGAAGTAATGTTTGAATTAGTAAATTTAAAGCAAGCACTCTCGAGTAAACGCAAAGACTGATATATATTTAGTAAAATCAATTAACGGCAAAACCGCTGAAGCATGGCACACACTTGAGCTTTTAGTTTCATGTTGCGGTGAAAGCGGTGATGTTTTGAGTCAGGGGGTGTTTACATGAATCCGGAATGAGTTTCGATCCGGAATGAACTCATTCCACTTTAAAAGAAATCCTATTGCATGTTTACATGAATCCGGAATGAGTCACAACTCGATCCGGATCGAGTTCATTCCTAGTTTCATTCCGGATCGAAATTTACTTTTTATCTCATGTAAACGCGAATTGAGTTTCATTCTGGAATGATATTGTGATTAATGACGAAGCACGCATGTGCCATGGGTATTGTCTTCTGGCAAATTGAAGCTCGTAAGTGAATAAAGAGGCTAAATGGGTTAAAATGAGTGCGAAGAAAAACAACAATTAGTTTCATGTAAACACGGATTGACATCACGTTTCGATCGGGATTGAAAGTCATTCCGGATTCATGTAAACACCCCCTCATAGGTTTAATATATTTTTGGCCTGAACGACACTTCATTACAGTGTTCACACGTTCTGAGATATCAGCTCATGCAATAACCAAGGCTAAAGCAAACGCATACGCACACGCATAATTTTTCATTTTTACACAACGCAACATGCATGGCGGTCAATAGCTCTGTGGTTTTCAAAAGCAGAGTATTCATGATAAATTAGCTGAAATCCCCCCTATTTTCTTTGTCTTTAGGACGTACGTTGTCCGGAACGATCGTGACTAAAACACCACACGAGTACATACGAGTACATACGAGTACATACGAGTAACATACGAGTACATGCGAGTGACATACGACTATTTTCTGGTCAACAAATGAGAAAAAACACAATTTCTTCAATACATTGATATTTGCGTTTATTTTTCCTTGTATTTGTGTGGACTTTGGGGCAACCATTTGATGGATTTAAATGCTGAAAAGGTATTTTACTTTCATACTATATTCATTTGTATGTTTTAGTTGAATTTGTTATAGATATTTTGTCGATGCGATTTGCCAGTATTTGAGCGCTTTTTGACACTTTCACCTAGGAAATACATATTTATGAAAGCGATTAAATAAACAACGTATAAATAATGCTTTCAAAACGTGCTATATGAAATAAATGTACATTATATATATTTGAATTAAATGAGAGTTGCACTGTGTTACGTATATACCAGACTGGAAAGTATGTCTTGCGCAACCTAGATCTAGCTTGCGCAATTTCGGGAGAAATGCGCGTCCTGACGCGCAGATTTTAAAAAATTTCTTGTTCGCCGCGCATTTGTGAAATTTGCCGCGCAGCGCGAGAAATTATTGCGCAATATCAGCACATGTGCGCTGCAGCGCTGTTGTTTCCGTTGAAAAAAATTGTTTTGTTGCCTGTTGAATGTCAATCTTACAAGCTGTTTTGACAGGCAAGTTCCGTTAATTGGTTGGTAAGCCAATAAGCGTTTGATGACTAGAAATATGATATCTGAGCAGATTAACTACACATTCTTTGCTTTCGTTTTTCGAGCTTTCTCTTTTTAAGTGACTTCAAGGCAAACCATATCGATTCTTCGGTGTATTCTACGGTGATACGTGATATTTAATTAAACCAACTTGGGTGTTCAAATTTGTAAGGTGAGTACACGTAATGGTTTAGTAAAATCAAAAGTACTGATACAAAATTACAAATGATAAAAATTCTGAAAGCATTAACGCTTCTAACACTAAACGCCGGGGAAACAAGTTATTATTTAACAGTTATGTTTTTTGTGTAACCTAAAAGTAGTGGTACGAAAGGATTTCTTGTATTACAAACTACAAAGCATGTTTTAATACATTTAAGGCAAATAAAATTCACAATCCTTACATAAAACATATTGATAAATGAAGCAATTTATAATTAAAACCGGTTTGCTAGCGAACTAACAGGGCTTAGCTCGCTATTATTTGGTGATAAAGCGAGATTTTTTGACAAACTTTTCTAATTGTTTATTTATTTTTACAAGATGGCTGAGATTCAAGCAGTTAAATCAGGTAAATTCACGCGTTACAATAGCCGAAAATTTTCCTAACAACAATATACACAATATATATCAGCCATTGGTTGATTGCAGGAGCTGATTCGGTGATTCCTCGACAATATTCATTTCTCACTAAGAGTACCAAACCAACATTTGTGTGTTGCTAAAAACTAGTGCTGCTTGCCTTTGATACCAAAAAAACGTTCATTACATTATCTTAACTTATGTTTTCATTGTTGTTGTCTAATTACTAGTTTGCGTTTCATGCAAGAAGGAATGTGGAAGCCATTTTTGCAAAGTTTGCAAAAAAACGTGCACGCAATTCCGCCTTGCTCAACATCAGCAGGTGATGATGAAGGTTTTGGTGCCCAGGTCTTGTGTAGTGGCTGTGCAAAAACTGAGACAGCAGCAGTGGCTAAAAATAAGCAGCAAACACTGTCTAAGGAAGGTAACAGAACAATTATCTAGTGTTAGAATGTTAGTCGTGTGTAAGAGTGATCGTGTTTGCGTCACAAAGAAAAGTGGCATGACATTGTCAGTGGGTTATAAAAACAATAGTAAACAACCAAGATTGGCTATCGACACATTTGTAACCATAAAATTGTGTGTTATAGAGTTTCAGTTTGCCAACATGTTTAAAAGACATAGCAAGCAGCAGAAAACAGGACCAGAAGCAAAGCGAGCAAAGAGTGGACACGAGAAAACCCCAATGGGCTTTTGCTTACTTTGTTTTAGGCAAGGCAAACGCAATTTTGGCTTGCTAGAGGAACAAGTCCTCTCTAGCAAACCATTTAAAACTCACAGCGACAAGGGCGAAAAGACCTTAGCAAATGACGCTATTAGAGAAGATTCCCTCTTGCTAAATCTGCGCTACAGGCGTACAAAATGCTTAAATCGGCTAGGTAATGAAAATCAAGTTCCCAATTCCCAAATTGAGAACTGCACTTACATTGTGTATGTTTTCTATGTTAATTGTATTTTCAGTACAAGCCAAGTGCAACAAAAGTGTGGTGGCGACGGAATGGGAGAACGGATAGAAATTATGGAAGTCGATGAAAGGTAGCTAAATTGCTCATTCCCTGCGTGAACCATAAAATAACCGAATATCACAAACTGCATACATGTTATATAATACATTTCTTTTACATATACAGTGATAGCTTTTTAAAATTATGAATATTAAATTGTTTCAGAGAGCTTGGTAAGGATACGGCTGGACATGCAACTGACGAACTTTCGTGCAAAATCGTTTCTGGTGTCAGTGAATCTGAAAGTTGGGAGGATACCGATGAAAAGATGAGAGGTTTGTTAGTGAAATACGGCATTTTTCTTGCATTATAGTATCAGATTTTACGACATTTTGTCACGATATTTTGTGAAATTTATGCCATAGTGGTTGAAAGTGTTGACTTTTTAGTTCAAGGCTTCCAATAATTCACTTGTTCGGATAAGTAATTTCTACATTACAAATTTCTTAAGTCGTTTAATATTAACGATGAAATCATTAAGTATTTCAACGTCCTCTGTTGAATTTCTTAGTACATATACTTTTCACACAGTTTGCAAGAAAATTTTAATGTTGGCTTTTTAACACTTTCATTGTTACATCGAAGAGATTGTGAGAGTTAATGCAGTAAGTAAGACGAGTAAGGCTGCCTCTATTTCAAACACCAGCCGTCTTGGCTATCAAAGCTCGCTTGGAAGTTTTCTTCCTTCAATTTTATCAAGTGAGCAAGGCGACCTGCCATTTGATGTGGACGAACTTGCGGAAAAAAATTGCTACTAAGGTGGCACAAAAGTTGAGTGGTAACCCTAAATCAGCCCAATCAACAAGTTCAACAACTACATACAATCCCACATCGAGTACCGCACTTCGATCTTCCAATTTGATTGAGCTTGTGGATGAAGTGGAAGATTTTGAAATACTAAAAGAAGAGAACAGCTGGGTGCTGCAGTGTCGAACGTGTGTCGAATTTTTAAACTCTTCCCGTGTTTCCTTTTCGTCATCTTTTAATCGACCTACTGGCAAAGCAGACGGATCTTTGGCATCTGGTTTACATATGTCAGATGCCTTGTATGAACAGCTAATTGCAGGCAAGTGTGAAAATGGTACAGCCAAAAGCAAGCGTGTCATCGACATCTTCTTTCTTTGACCCACAAAACGCTGATGACCACATGAAGATGGTAAAGCAAGGGAGGTCAAGGGAAGTACTTGTTGCAAAGAATCAACTCCGTGCAGCTCTTGGTGTTGTGAAAACAAAGTCAGCTGCAGTTCATTATGAAGCACGAATTGCTGAGCTTCAAGCTGCTGGTGCGGATGTTGGTGATTTTTGTCATTCTCGAAAATTGTTTCCAGACATGATCAAAGCAGCATGTGCTTACATCGACATGAGAG